CAAGAATCATATGGCATTTTTAATAATATTAATCCTGCCAAGACATGAATATGGGAGGTCCTTTCTTCTTCTACTGTCTTCTTCAATTCATCCACTGTTCTGTAATTTTCATTATGTTTTATCTCCTTGGTTGGGCTAATTCCTAAGTAATTTTTTAAGCTATTGGAAATGAAGGCATTTTCCTGATTTTCTTTTCATCTAGATAATTATTATTGTATAGAAAAGCTGTAATGTTGATTTTATATCCTGCTACTTTGCTGAAATTATTAGCTCTAAAATTCTTTTAGTTTCATCTTTAGGGTCTTCTAAGTATAGGATCATATAATTTATAAATTAAATGACCTATTCCTTTCCTATTTGCATCTTTTATTTCTTTCTCTTGCCTAGTTGCTGTAGTACATATCTCAAGTACCATCTTGAATAGGAGTGAAGAGAGAACAACCTGGTCTTGTTTCCGATTTTAGAGGAAAAGCTTTGTTTTTCTCTTGAAGTCTGATGTTAGCTATGGGTTTGTCACATAAACAGTTTATTATATTGGGAAATTATCTTTGAATACATAGTTCCTTCAAGGTTTTTATCATGGAGTGTAAAATTTTATCAAAGGCTTTTTCTTCATCATATTAGATGATCATGTGATTTTTATTCTTGATTCTGTGTATGTGGTATATTACCTTTATTTATTCATGTATGTTGAACCATCACTGCATCCCTGGAATGAAACCAACTTGATCATGGTGTATGATCTTTTTAATGTGTTATTAAGTTAGGTTTTTAAGTATTTTATTGTGGGGGAAGGACTGTGATTGCTAATGAACTGATTACTGATGGTCGGCTTATGATCCCCAGCCGTGCTGAGTGCACGTGGTGCGGGGCATGGAAGGCTCGCCCGAGGATGGTTACCATCAGCTGAGAGGCAGAAATGGAAAGGGATAATGAATTTCTCCTGTGGGTCTGAGTTACGTTTTGGGTTCTAATAAAAGGTGACTGAGATGGGTGATGGGGCTGCTGCAGTCCCAGAAGCTGTGGGCCCCCTGATCCCAGACTTTTGCCTCTTCTGTTTTTCTTACCTCTTTTACCTTTTCATCTGCGGGCACCTCGTTCTCGGGACCTGTCACTACAGATAGTACCAACATTTTATTATGGATTTTTGCATCTATTTTCATCAAGGATGTTGGTCTATAGTTTTCTTTTTTGTTGTGTCCTTCTCTGGTTTTGGTAGCAGGGTGATACTGAACTCATAGAAATGAAAGCATTTCTTCCCTTTCTATTTCATAATATAGTTTGAAGTGTATGGTGTTAGTTTTTCTTTAAAGTTCTGGTAAAATTCAATAGTGAATTCATTTGGTCCTGAGCTTTTCTTTGTTAGGAGACTTTTTCTATTGCTTCAATCTCATAGCTTGTTGTTTTTTTTTTTTTTTTTTCATAGCTTGTTGTTGATCTCTAGTTTTTTTTATATCTTCTTAGTTCAATTTTGACAGTTCATACATATTTACAATTTTCTTCTAGATTTAGAAGAAATATATTTCTTCTAGAATCTCCAATTTATTGATGCATACATTTTCAAAATATTCCCTCATGAGCTCCTGGATTTCATTGGTGGTTGCTATGATATTTCCTCTTTCTTTCTCTTTTTTTTTTTTTTTTTTTTTTTTTTGGTTTTTGTGTGGTAGTGGGAACCAAACTCAGGACGTCACACTTGCCAGGCAGGTGCTATGCCGCTGAGCTAAATCCCTAGCCCGCTTCCTCTTTCATCTTTAATCATGTTAATCTGAGTCTTCTTTTTCTCTCCTTTGGTTAGTTTGGCTAAGGGTTTTTCAATCTTGTTTATCCTTTTAAAAATCAATCTTTGTTTCATAAATCCTGTATTTTCTTAGTCTCTATTTCATTAATTTCATATCTAATCTTTTTATTATTTCTTTCCTTCTGTTGGGCTTCATTTTGATTTTTTCTTATTTTTCTAAGAGTTTGAGATACATTATTAGGTTATTTACTTGGCATAGCTTTAATTTTTTTTTTTTTATGTAGGCATTCATCACTACAAACATCCCTCCAAAAGAAACTGTCTTTACTGTATCCTACACATTCTGGAATGTTGTATTTCCATTGTCATTTGATTGAAAGAATTTTTTGACCCCCCCAATTTCTTCAGTGATCCACTGACTAATTAAAAGTCAATTGTTTAATCTTCATGTGTTTGTATAGTTTCTGCAGTTTCTGTTGATTTCTACTTTTATTCCTTGTGATCTGATAAAATGAAAAAAAAGAGTTCAGTTTTTTGGAGAACATTCCATGAGCCACTGAAAGTTATGTGTATTCTGTAGTTGTCAGGTGGGATGTTTTGTGGATATCTGTTTAATTCATTTGCTCTATGGTGTAGTTTACCTTTGATGTTTCTTTATTGATTTTGTATCTGGATGATGTATCAATTGGTGAGAGTGGAGTATTTAAGTTACCCACTATATGTCCTTTTATGACACATAGTGTTTGTTTTGTGAAATTGGATATACTGACATTCAGTGCATATATATTTACAATTGGTATCTCCTCCTGGTAGATTGTTCCCTTTACTAATATGTGGCAGTCTTCTTTGTCATTCTAAATTTAACAGTCTGCTTTTATCTATATGAATATAGCTACTCCTCTTTTTTAGATTCCATTTGTGTGGAATACTGTTTTTTATTCTCTCATTTTCAGTTGCATATTTCTTTGCTGGTGAAATGTGTTTCTTACAGGCAACAAAGCATTGGATCTCATTTTTTAATCCAATCAACAGTCTTCATATTTTAATTGGAGAGTTAAGACCATTTATATTCAGAGCTATTATAGAAAGGTACATATTAATTTTTATCAATTTGTTGTTTTTGTAATGTTTCATTCTTTCTTAATTCTGAGTAGTTTATCTAGTCTTTCTTTTTGTGTAGGATTCTTTTCAATATATTCTTCAGTGCTGTGCTTAGTGGGCTTGAATTTCTCTAGTTTACTGTTATCTTGGGAGAACTTTATTTCTCCTTTGACTTGAAGAATAGCTTTGGTGGATATAATAATGTGGGTTGGAATTTATTTATTTCAGAGATTGAAATACATTGTTCCATGCACTCCTAGCCTTTATGGTTCTTTAGAAGAAATCTGCAGTTTTTCTGATAAGTTTGCCTTTATTAAGAAGCTTGGCTTTTCTCTCCTGCAGTTTTCAGTAGTCTTTGTTCCGTACTATTGGCATTTTAACTATAATATGATGTAGCAACACAATATTCTACATCTTGTATATTTTACCTTTTCATTTGTTTAGAAATTTTTAAAATGGATTGTTAATGAGATTATAGTGTTTTTTACCATATTTACTTTAAAATGAAATGAAACAAAAAGAAAATATACATCAGAAAACAGAATCAAAAAAATTTAAATTTTTTGTATCCAGTAGTGTGCTGATAAATGTTAAACTACCTGTTGATATTGTCTTTATGTGTGTGTGATGATAAGTATATATATGTATATATATACATATATAATTTGTATATATACATATATAATTTATAATTATTATAAATTTTACTGACATGAAGGATGTTTAACAGCAGTTTCATAAATAATAATAAAATATACAGTTGTCTTTACTGTAAATTCTGTATAGCCATTCTCACAAAATGCTTTCATTGATTTTTGCTAAACATGTATATTCCTGGGCTGGGGATTTAGCTCAGCGGCAAAAGCGCCTGCCTGGCAAGCGCAAGGTCGTGAGTTCGGTTCCTGGTACCGGAGAAAAAAACCCAAAAAAAAACCATGTATATTCCTAACCAACCTATGTTGCTGCATGAGTTGAGTGTAGTTCCAATATCAGTACTGATTAACTAATAGGAAGTGATTTTACAAAGGTGTATGTGTTCAAGCTTCATTTTTAATCACTAATGTAAACATATTCTTTATTAAGTATATGTATATAATGGTTTTCAGATACTGGAAGAGTATTAATTTTTTGTATGCTGCTTACAGTGTAATGGCTACAGATACACTTTTTTTCTTTCTTTTTTCTTTTTTTTTTGTCTTTTTAATACAGGGTCTAGCTATGCAGTTCAGGCTGGCCTTGAGCTCACTTTGTAGCTCAGGCTGGTCTTTTTTTTTTTTTTTTTTTTTTTTTTGGTTTTTCTCCTGTACCGGGAACCGAACTCATGACCTTGCGCTTGCCAGGCAGGCGCTTTGCTGCTGAGCTAAATCCCCAGCCCCACAGGCTGGTCTTGAACTCGCAACGATCCTCCTGCTTCAGCCTCCCAAGTGCTGGGATTACAGGCATGTGCCACCACACCTGGCAGATACACTTTTAAGTTTAATACTCATTAGTAACTTTTCCCTTCACTGTTCTCTTGAATCAGAGTAAAAATCAACAAGTAAATCAAGCTCAAATGTATAATATTTGCCAATTTCAGTAATATAAATACACCCCTATGGCTGAGTTTAAGACATGCAGAGCTGGAAGGACATTCCCTCTTGTGCACCATTACCAAGGACAAACACAGTATAGATATAAATCACCTCAAGAGCAGAGGCAATAGTACAATATCAAACATTACTAAAAGGTGATGAGGTTTTTAAAAATTTTTTTTTGGTAGTGGAAATCGAACTCAGGACTTTGCTCTTAAGAAGCAGGCACTGTGCTGCTGAGCTATATTCCTGACCCCAGTGATGAGATTTTAGTACTCATCTTTTGTTTTGTTTCAAGACAGAGCCTTGCTACATAGTTCAGGCTAGTCTTAAACTCACTGTATAGCCTAGCTGGCCATGAACTCACAGCAATCCTTCTATTTCAGCCTCCTGTGTGCTGTGATTATAGGCATGTGCCACCATGCCTGGTTTAACCTTCATTTTTAGTATAATTTTATTTAATTTTATGTTTTTATAATTTGACACCTGCATTTAACAACCATCATGCTAGACTTTCAAAATTTTAGCAACTGGTTCTCAAAAGCTGATGTAAGCTCCCCGTGGGTTCATGTGCTTTTCCTTTGTAGGTCGCCTTGGGAAGCCCAAAATTACACAGAGTATAATGACATCTGTGAATGGTACCTGTAATGTCACACTGACATGCTCTGTGAACAAAGATGAAAGGAATGTGACGTATAGATGGAGTTCCCTGGAAACAGAGGGCAATGTCCTTCAAATCATCCAGACCCCTGAGAACCAAGGGCTGAATTACACATGTACAGCCTGGAACCCTGTCAGCAACAATTCCAACTCTATTTCTTCCCAGCAGCTCTGTGCAGGTATAAAAGCTCTTCTTTCCTGGTGAGTTTCAGAAATCACTCTGACGAGCTTCGAGGCCTGAATTTGGCTTCATCTCCAGAGGAATGTACCTCCCTTATGTTGATCCTGGTTCCAGGAAGCATCCTCCCCTCCCCCCGAGGAAGCTCACTTCGGAAAGCTTCTGCAAGATGCTAAGCCTTTCAGGGTATTCTGAGGTAGCCCTCAGAATACTAGATTCTGGTACAATTTCTGACTTTTCATAGCAGAAAGTACAGTTTCCCCAGGAGCTTTGTCTCTCCCTGGAGGCCACCCTATTTTGATAGTGATCCTGGCTGTGAATAAACTTCCCAAGCATCTTGGACCTATTTTCTGAAAGTCAAGACTCACTGCAACTTCTACTTTCAGACATCGCAACAGACGTCAAGACCCGCCACACCGGGTTGCTGAGTGGGCTGGCCGTAATCTTTTTGCTTGTTCTCATTCTACTGTCAGTGTTACTATTCTATTTGCACAAGAGAAAACAAGGTAAGATTGCCCCAGAAGGTAAAATGTGGGGATGCATCTTCTTTCTTCCAAAGACTGAAGTCATTTACCCAAGGTGGAGTGGAGAAGTCCTTTGTTCCACCCTTACAACAATGCAAACTCCACAGTCTTACCACATCCTGGGTTGATAACACCAAAAACTATAAATATAGATGCTTATCTCTTTTATCTTTGCTTCTCTGGGGCCTCACATGGAGCCTGACACATAGTAGAAGCTTAATAAATGTTTATTCACTCAGTGAATCACTCAAAAAAAAGCAAGAATGTTTGTGAAGCATCTACTATGTGCTTAATATTGAGCTAGTTATAGTAAAGTATGAAACAAAATAATGCAACACATTGTACGATTACAGAGTATCAAGTTCAGCAACTAAGATGCTGACATGCAAAGTTCACTTGGCATGCAAAGTCATCAGCACCAAAGGCAAGAGACACTAAGGAAGACCGCAGGTATAAGAGCTATCTTTGACTGCCCACAAAAGGTGTAGGGAGATTCTCTTTAGCCTAGAGTAGAGGAGAATTTCCAGTGAGCTGTGTGTGAGGCCTGAGCCACAAGCAATCACAGGAAAAGGGAGTGATCAAGCAAGGATCTAAGCATTCATCTCAATAGGTTGGTAGCCATATACCCTTTCAGGATTTTATTTCCTCATCATAAAAAGAGAACATACAACTAAATCATCTCTCAATATCTACTTACATTTCACAGACTATTGTTCTGTGTTTATGTGTGACAGATGTTCCTGCAGAGAACACAATATACACGTATGCCAAGGTTTCAAGAGACACCCAGCCTGCAGAGCCCAAGATCTATGATGAAATCTCCCAGCCCAAGGTGAGTGGATGCCACTGCATGGGCACCTACCCCACCACCAGGATGGGAGCCATGGCAACCATTGCCTTCTGCTGTTCGGTACCTAAAAAGCAGCTGCAGAAGGAATCTAAGGGAGGGGTCTAACCTGGAAACACCACATCAGGGAAGTGATGCCATGAGTCTCTAACAGAACAGGAATGTGGCCAGTGTCCTTCCATGGCAGCCACCACAGTTTGAAGCCCTGAGCTTCTACATGGAGGCCTGGCACCAGGTTACATGAGGTCCTGTCTTAAAATAAAACATAGAAAAGGGCTGGGTGTGTAGCTCAGTGCTACAGGATCTCACTAAGTTGCCTGACATGGATTCAAGCTTGTGCATGACTAAGAAGCACCCTCTTAAAGGTACCAAAGAACAAGAGAGCCCATAGCATGAGGAGAGGGCTGTTCTGGGGCCACTGACCTGGTCTGCAGGTTACAACCCTGGCAGAGAGGGCGGCGCAACCCTGACAGAGAGGCTCCTTGAACTATATGCCTGGTATGGAAACAGGAGCAGCTTCCTTTCCTCAAAGTCTGTGTCACTCTGTCATGTGCCTTCTTCCCCTGCTTAGCTCACTTCCACCTGGATCACTGTCATGTGTGTCTCTACCAGCCTGCTTCCCGGCAGTCAGCAAGGACTCAAGGGAGAAACTTCCTGGTCAAACTCTGCTTGGACTGATAGGAATGCTGGATCCATAGAGCAACAAAAAGCTAAAATCCTGACTAAGACAGTCTGAACCACACAGACCCTTGCTCTTGGCTTCTGAGATTTTTTTGCCTCAAGGCCCTGATCAAGTGTCACCCTCTCCCCATCACCCCCACCTGCTCTGGATCCTCACAAAGTTAGACAGAACCACAGCTGGGGCCAATAGAAGAGGCTATTTAGAAAAGCGGAACTTTTTACCACCTAGAAAGGGGTAATGGATAGGACAGAATTAGGAAGTGAAACTCATAAGATTTGACCTGAGCTCCCTCACTGAGGATATGATGGTTGTTTTCCAGGTGTCCCCCTTCAAGAAAGAATCAGTGCAAACGATTTATTCCACAGTGCAGTCCTCTGATCAAGTAAGTTTCTCCTGGTGTGTGTGTGTGTGTGTGTGTGTGTGTGTTACTGAGAACTGAACCAGAGCCTTTGTGCTGAGCTACATCCCCACCCCTTTTTTTGTTTTTGTTTTTAATTTTGAGACAGGATCTCACTAAATTGCCCAAACTGGACTCAAGTTTTCGATCCTGCTGCCTCAGCCTCCCAGAATGCTGGGATTACAAGCATACACTACCATGCCCAGCTTTTTCTTTGTTTTCCTATCAGTGGCAACCATTCCGGTATACCCTATCCATCAGTGTGTCATTTAAAACTTTAGACCTCTCAAGCCAATGAGAAGGTTGTCTGAAGCACCCTAAACAGCCAGGTCTTATAAAACATTATTGGTGACAGATGCCATTGGCAATTTGTCACTGTGTATAGATGAGAGTGGAATTACTGGGATACAGAAAGAACTAGGGCTCAACTAGGAACCAAGAATGCAACTAACTTGGGCCTGGAGGTGATCCAAGCCTATAATCAAAATTAGCTCCACATATCCCCATTCCTACTGCTCTTTTGGGAGCTATGACATTCCCAGGGGCCTCCAGATGGGGTGACTGGAGAGACACAGGATTTAGCAAAGACAAGGCCATGCTCCCCCAGATTTCCCCAGGACCAAGGAAATCTAAGACATCACCTTGGGTTCCCATGGGACTGGATTTCCACAGCCACACCTTTCAGCTAATGTGTCGTCACATTTCTCTCTCGTGCACAGATAAAGAAAATCAACGCACTGGACAGCAAACCTCCCAAGGCTTCAGGCTATGAGATGGTGATCTAGGCTGGTGGAAGCCATTTTCTTTCTGGAACCTGTGTGACAGCTAAGGATAGTGGAAGGTTCCCTGACAGGAAATCCTCTGTTGCTGGGCATAACATGTGGCCTGATAGACACATGGACCATGCCCTTTCTGATGGACTCCCTTCTAGATGAATGACACAGGAAGTCCCCATGTATAGTGCTCCCCAACTTCACATCACAGCACATGTAGAAAGTAATAGTTTTAAGGCATACTGGGTTCAGCTGAGTTACAAGCACAAATAACATCAAGCACCCTGGACCCAGATCTTCTCTGTTCAGGTCTTACTGGGAGATTGCAAATCAAGTTTGCCCATGTCCAGAGACTGCACATGGCTGGAAGATTTTCATGGCTAGAGATGATGGCTCTGTGCAGCAGCTGTTGGAAGAAAGGATCAATATTTTGCATGTCTGCAACATGCCATGGCACATCAGCTGGGATATTCCACTCATACTCATCATATTAGAGGGCCCCTGGTATATAGCTTCCACCATCCATCCCCACAGCAACTTAAAGTCCGTCAGGAGATGGCACTCATGCTTCCAGTCACATGCAGCCCCTTGGTCATATGCATGGCATGGTGAGCAGCATGTGAGCTGTGTATCAGCCCATGACCACTCCTTCACCCAGGAACCTTCCTGCAGGACCCAACCGTCTCAACCAGCCTGAGCATAGATGACCATGCTGCACGAGATACTGTCAGAGTTGTGGCTCTCAGCCATGTGGAGATGCTGTCCACATGGAACATTAGAAAATGCTCTTTCTGCCAAAACTTCCCTTCTGTGTCACTACAAGGAGCCCCAACAAGACATGCTCAGTATTTTCAGTCTCCAAAAGGAATTGAGCAACTACATTTCAACCACTTCAGGGAACTGGGTGTAACCCACCCATCAAAGTAAGAGACCGTGGAGGAACCACAGTCATTCGCAAGAGGAAACTTGAGCAATGATGATGTGGAAGATGAAAGTGGGTTCCCACCAGTTCCTAAGGTTCAGATCAGAGAAGCATGAGGTTCAAGCTGAGGCTGAGTGCTCCCCGCATCTCCTACATACACACACAGCAAAACTGGCAGTCATGAGCCAGACAGTCTTGTGATCATTTGAGGAAATGTTTCCTTTCTATGTCAGCAAACGTAACCAGCTAAATTTCAGGCTGGACAGGTTTTGCATTTGGTAGAATAAAGTTGTCAGTCCTGTAAATGGATCCACAGACTCTTCTAGCATTAATTACCATTATTAGAGCAGCAAGGCCTCAGGGCAGTGGTGGTGAACCTGTCACATGCATAGGGCTGTTTGGTAAAACTCTAAAAGGTTCATTATCACTGACCCAGGGTATAAGTTGAGTACCAGGCCTTTTCCTGGTCTAGCTGACCAGTAATTCCAGCACAGACACTATGGTTAAGTCCTGAACTGCAATTGCAAGGTGGCATAAACTAGAGTAGATGAGAAAAGACTTAACAGTCAGTAGAGCTAAAGCTGGTCCTTGAAGGATGGGAAAGATCAGGATGAAGAATGAGGAATACAGAGGGCCTCAAAGCAAAGGATGCATGAAAAACAGAAGCCTGGATCTGTGGGGTATCAGGCCACATCCCAAATCCACTCACAGGCCCAGAGTTCCTTGCCTATGTGTCACTGAGTGCTTCTGCCAGAATGTGTGTCCCACTCTGTCCATTTGTCTGTCTCTCACTGTCCACCTTAAACAGCTCCTCCTCTTTGAAGTTTTCCTGGGTGTCAACACTTAAAATTAACCACAGCTCTTTTTGCACTCTTTTCCTTCCCTTTTGTTCTTTCTGTCACTCTAACACATTCTATTCTGACTTACACAGCAGAAACCATTATCATGTACCACCGAAGGACAAATGCATGGCTTTTATTCATTGTTTCCTTTCCCCCTGTATCCACCACCACCACCCAACATACAACACACCGTATATGGGCAATAAATGCTAATGAATAGAATTGAAAATGACTGTCCACATTTGAGAGATGCAAATTAAAACAACTCTGAAATTCCATCTCACCCCAGAAAGAATGGCTATCATCAAGAAATCAACCAATAACAAGGTGCTGGGGATTTAGCTCAGTAGCACAGCACCTGCCTGGCAAGTGCAAGGTCATGAGTTTGAGTCTCGGTACTGGAAAAAAAAAAAAAAAAAAAAGAAAGAAAGAAATCAACCAATAACAAATACTGAAGGGGCTGTGGCAGGAAAGGAACACTTCTCACTGTTGGTAGGAGTGTAGGCTGGTGCAACCACTGTGGAAATCAGTGTGGAGATTCCTCAGAAAAGCTAGAATTGGATGTTACATTTGACTCAGCTATTTCTCTTCTGGGTATTTTCCCAGAAGAATTAAAAACATCATACCACAGCGATATATGCACACCTATGTTTATAGCAGCACAATTTGTAATAGGTAGATCTTGGAAACAACCCAAATGCCCATCAAATGAGGAATGGATAAAAAAGATGTGGTCATTTTACACAATGGAGTACTACTCAGCCATAAAGAAGGACAGATTGAAGACTTTTATAAGTAAATGGATGCAACCCAAGACCATACTCATAAGTGAAATAAACCAGGTGTACATGTGTAAACTTCATATTGTCTCCCTAGTGTGAGAAGCTGGAAGAGTAAATAAGATCCAAAATGTACAATAGATATTGTGAAATGGGAAGAAACTTCAAAAAGAAAGAGAAATTGGGATGGGGGAACAGAGAAAAGGAGGAAGGAAAAAACAAAAGGAAAAAAATTATATATATATACATGTATTGATATATATATATGATAGTTAATATACTACTAATGTCTCAGTTCATCAAAAAGAAAGGTTTGTGCTAATAATGTTTGGACAGTTAAATACCAATATCTTGTACTCTGAGTACCTAATTTAAAAATAGCAATACACAATGTAGTAACCATTGTTACCCTCCTACTGTTTTGAAATTTTGTGGGCTTTTTCTCTTTAAAATAAAAAAAAAAAAAAGAAAATGACCATCCAGCTCAAATAGAATGAACATGTTAGAAGCAAAATAGAAGCCAACAAGCATAGTGGAACCAAAGAACAACATTCATTAGACACAAGGATGAAGGCATCAGATGTGGCCTTAGTAAAAGAGCATTTTGCAGTTAGACAGACCACCTAAGGGGTCAGACGAAGCACTGAGCAAGCGTAAAGAAGCAGTGTCCTGGGGAGGGGCATGAGAGAAGGGTAAAGTCTTGGTCATGAAGGATGGAGAAGTTTCAAGGTGACACAGAACAGGCTGAAATAAAAATCTTTGCTCACCCAGTAGGTGAACTGAACACCCTTGTTCTGCACACTCCCCCTTCTGCCCCGATGAGCTCCCTCAGTCAAATTCCTAGTGTCCTAATGCCCTGTAAACAAAAACAAAAACAAAAAGTCAGAAGCAAGAGCTCTTTAGGCATTCCAGAAGAGAAAACTTGGGATAGAGTCAGTACCCTGGAATTCTTACGGTGGCCTTTGGGCTCAGGACTGCCCTGCCCCTGTCTCTCCGGGGCATGTCTTCTCACTTAATGAAGACATGAACTGCTTGCTCCTCTCCTTAGGGCTCAGTTTTCAGGTTCTCCTTCTATGAATGTGTATGATCTTATTTTTCTCTCCACAGCATTGCAGATGAACAAGGCTTGTGACCAATGGTTCTGTTAAAATCAAAGTAGCTTTCAATGGAACAAGATCTTGCAACAGACTGAGATGTTCCAGTTTTGTAAAACCTGTTTCAAAATCAAAGTCTTGGGGACAGACAGGGCCCTCTGGTGGAAAATCCTGGCAAGCCAGGACAGTCCCACCTGCAGAGCAATGCTACAACTCAGTTCGCCCCAGAAGAAGAAAATGAAGCTGGTTTAAAATATTATTTTTATAAACCTCTGGAACAGTCTAAACCACACAAGAGAATAGTTTGGCCAGGCCACCTTAGAAATTGGCATGCGCAAGAAGATCCTGACTGGTCTGGGCTGTGCCATCACAAAGCAGGTCTTAGGTTCTACAGAGAGAGGAAATGGTTGCGCTGTATTTTCTTCTAGATCTGCTCTTTTTCTTCTATTTCACTTTTCCCTGGATTCCTCTTGATTTGTGTATTTATCTCCAGAATAATTAGCAACAGTCTCTACTGGTTGTATAATGAAGCTTAAGAAGGACAAGAGGAAGAAGTGTAACGAATGGTCAGAAAAGTAGGTCTCTTTCTGATGTGGCCTATGCTGTAGAGGTGGTATGGGGGTTAAATAAAATGTTACTACAAGGATATCCCTGCTCATAATAAAGTCTTGGGGGTCCTTTTATAAGCTGTTCTTACCAGCCTGAAACCTTCATAAAATACTAACCCAAACTTACAATATAAGCTTCTTGCAAACAGAAATATAGCTGATGTTATGTTAAATCAATATTACATAGCATACTTTTAACTCCCAGTCCTGCAGACCCTCATATGTTTTGTTATATACATTGTCTATTCCTTCTGTCACACTTATCACCTGTCACTATGCCCATCCCCTGATGGGGAGGACAGGAGCTATGTGCCAATGATGAGCATGGAGAGGGGGAGCCTTGAGGACAGGGAGCTGGAGGGCTGGCTTTGTACCAACCGCTGCATTCAGCGGTTTGTACATTATTCTCCACAGCAGCCCTGTAAAATAAAAATTAATTTTGGTTTGCATTAGGCTTAGGGGTTAACTACCTTAGCAAATTCAGAAAGCTGGAAAGACAGGATTTAAACACAATACTTGCTACTCCTGCGTTCTGCCACACTGCCTCCCTTTCCCTCCAATGGAGTCACAGCCCTTGGCACTTGGCCTCCGGTGTCACATACACCTGGCACTTAGCACAGTGCATAGTAGGTGCACCACAAATATCTTTTGAATGAATAGTTGAATATACTAGTATTCTAAAACTACTCAATGCAGCTGAAAGTAAGTACATTTACACATAAATTCCATCATCATCTGAATAGTTGCTCAACTTTCCTGTTGGAATTGTCCTTTAAGTCAAAGAAGCTTTTAGGTTTATCAGGGAGGAAACAATGTAGGAGCTAGGGCTTGGCAACGCTGACTGGGGAAAATGAGCTGACCGTTCTATTACAAGATCTCACAGCAATGGGGGGAATCCACATGTAGAACTTCTCGGGAGCTCCCACAAGATGTGGATGGCATAAAAGAAGACTGGCCATCACGGAAAGCTGCTAGCACAAGTTCCCAAGATAGCCCATGCACGTTTCTCAGACCAAGAGTGTAATTTTATTTTTGCTTTTACCCTCTTTTTCCTTTGTTCAGCCCAAGTTTGCTCTGCAAAGCTGGTTTCTTCCATACCCATTCACCCCGCACTTTTCAAATAAACTTTTTGGTACTGTTAAAAACAATAAAACAAAGAAGCTTGGACAGAGCTCTCCGCATCTGGCCAGAGTTGGTTGCATAGGCTACAAGGGATCTAAGTCATACACACTTCTCATGAGCTATTACAAAAGGAAAAGAACATTATACATCTCCACTCCTAATATCATAAGGGTAACAGGAACAGAAGAATTTGGGGGCTTGCACTGCATTGTTTAGTAATTACTAAAATAATAAATAACTGTGTACATTGCAATTTTAGTGCTTTCCCATCCAAATGTAAGGAGTCCTTGTGATTTTTCAAAATATTAAAATGTTCATTTATTTTGATAAAGGATTATTAACAATGTAAAAGCCCCACCACCGACATCAAAGGTTCTAGTTTAATTCCCAGTTCCCAACCCTGCCCTGGGGTTAGATCTTCATGTGTACCATTTCTGGAATGTATGGTTATAAATGCCCTGCCCTTCCTGGACTCCCAAAATGTATTGTGAATGCTCTACCCCTCCCGGAGTCTCAAATGTACTGTTCCTGCCATTAAAAAAAAAAAAAAAAAAAAAGAGAGTCCCCTCGTTGTTACAGATGTGACAAGTGTTTGCCAAACAGCATGAAGTTTTAGGGTTTAAAAACTGCTCTTGTCCCTGGATAAGGACTGGTCTGATCCTTCCCTGTGTGGAAGCTCTCAGTCAGTCCCTGGCCAGGAATAAAGGCTCATCCTAAATTCCAATTGGCGGTCCGTGCCTCTTGGTTTTTGTTGGTCGGTACCATTTGGTTCGTTTCTGGTTGCGAGTCCAGAACATTTGGAGGTTCCACCGAGATGCCCTACAGGGGGCGCTACAGAGCCGGATCACTTTACCCCTGGCAGCCACCTGTCAGGGGGCTTCTTGAGATGTGCCTCGACCCGGACAGGCTCCCCTGCCTAGGATAAAGACTAAATTATTTCTATTCGACTTGGAGCCGTTTGTCTTCTTACTGGTAAGAGTTTGTTTATTTGTTTCTGGGTCTCCCCGTTTGGATCTCCCGGGCGGCAGACATGCCTTTAAGTGCCAGAGAGACTTTGGTTTGGTTTTGGTTTGTTTTGTTGTTGTCTTTCCGTTGTCTGTTCTTGTATTGTTTGTCTAAATGGGTCAGTCTGCTTCTATGTCTCTTATGCCTCTTCAGTGTGTACTAAATCACTTTTCTGATTTCAAACAGAGAGCCACCAGCTATGGTGAGCCAGTTTTTCCCAGCAAACTGCGAACGTTTTGTGAACTTGAGTGGCCCAAATTCAAGGTTAATTGGCCCCCGGAAGGGAGTTTTAACATTTCTGCTTGCCAACAGGTCCGCCAAGTCATATTTGGCAATCCAGGACACCCTGACTAGGTTATCCACATCCAAGTGTGGATCGAACTCATCACAGAGCCCCCTAAGTGGGTCAAAAAGCATTTTCCTCACCATAAGGTCCTTCTTTCTCAGCCCTGCCAGACTCCCAAGCCAGCTTCCCCTCCTCCGGTCCTCCAGGAAACCCGATTCACCCAACTCTCCTACCCTCTACCCTCGGCTTTCCCCACCTTACCCTACCCCTGACTCGTCGCAATCTTCTGGTCCCCCTGCCCTTACCAGCCCTTTGCATACATGGAGCGGCCAACCTTTTAGAGAGACACCCTTTGCCTCCAGTCTGCTCCCCGACTCCTCTAACCCTTCTCCACCTCCCTCTGCTCCCCCAGCTCTCCTCCCCCTTTGCAAGGTGCCCTGGGCCAACTGGGAGGAAGGCCTGTTCCTAGTTCATGTTCCATTCTCTACCACTGACTTGTTTAATTGGAAGCATCAGTATCTGCCTTTCTTAAAGGATCCCCAAACTTTGATATCTCTCATTGAAACAATATTTGCCACCCACGTCTCCACGGGAGACTGCGAACAGCTTTTACAGGTCCTATTCACTTCAGAGGAATGGGAATGCGTCCACTCCCACGGGCAAAAGGCGGTTCTTGGACCTGACAGCCAACCTGCTGCCGATCCTAGACTAATAGAGCAGTGTTTCCCATCCACCCGCCCAGATTGGAACCCCAATGGATATGCAAGGAGGCTCTTGATCGGTATCACCAGACTCTTCTTGGTGCTATTAAGGCCGTGGCCCGCAAGCCAACTTGAGGTTGAACCTCTCGGGTCGAGGGACCTGGGCCCGTGGTAAGCAGCGACACGGTGAAAAGAAGACACCGGAGACCAGGCTGATGGCACAGATCTATTTTATTGTGGAAGTACCAGGTGTTTTATAGAGCAGGCTAGAGGCGTGGTTTGGAGGTGGTACTATTGGCAGGGGGCGGTGTGGAAGTAAGAGGTCAGAGCGGGACAGCCTAGGCGGGGCGACTCACTCGGTTTGCCGAGGACATGACGAGTCTGAGTTTGCTCAGACCCGCTCCTCTGCCACGGCCTTCAACCCGACCTCTGGACCCCTTTTTCCTACACCAACTAATTTGTCCAAGGTAACTGAAGTTAGTCAGGGGCCGGATGAGTCTTCAGCAGTGTTCCTTGAGCGCCTCCAAGAGGCTTATCATATATACACCCCAATTGATCCGGAGGCACCAGAAAACAGGCGAGCTCTTAATATAGCGTTCGTCACCGAATCAGCCCCAGACATTAGGAAAAAGTTACAAAAGTTAGAGGGTTTTGAGGCAAAGGCACTCTCAGAACTGGTAGAGGTGGCTCAAAAGGTCTTTAACAACTGGGATGATCCCCGGGAGCTAAACGAGAGGATGGCAAAAGTTCTGTTGGCCATGGGAGAAAAGCCCCAAAAAGGGATAAACAAGCCCACGACTGGGACCAGAGATAAAAGACCTCCCTTGGGGAAAAATCAATGTGCCTATTGCAAGGAAGAGGGTCACTGGAAAAAGCACTGTCCAAAGTTCAAAGAAAAAGGTCCCACAGTCTTGAGCACACAAGAAACAGATTGAAAAACTCAGGGCTCCCCTGGCCCCCAGGAGTCCCGGGTAACCCTTACCATGGGGGTCAAGAGGTCCAATTCCTCGTGGGCATGGGTGCCACCTTTTGTGTTCTTTAGTGGCCCGGTGGACCTCTCTTTTCTATAAAAACTAACATTCAGGGAGCAACTGGTAAAACTAAGGCCTACCCGTGGTCACGGGCAACCATCATGGACTTGGGAAAACAAACCTTGACCCACTCCTTTTTGGTCATGCCCAACTGTCCCTACCCACTACTTGGGAGAGACCTTTTATATAAGTTACAAGCCCAGATCTCTTTTGCAGACTATGGTCCAACTGTAACTTTCTCCAACGGGATTCAGCCACCCTGCTATTTTGTTTACCTGTCCTCTCACGGAGGGACACATTCTTACTGCAGAACCCCCCGAGCTCCCAGCACAAATATCCAACTGGCTTCTAGAAATATGGAAATTACAAATACCTGAAGTATGGGCAGAGGACAATCCTCCCGGCCTGGCTTCCCATCAACCCCCAATTGTGGTAGCCCTAACTCCCACTGCTGTGCCTGTGTGAGTCCGACAGTACCTGCTGAGTCAATGTGTTTGGGAAGGCATAGCTAAACATATCTCAAGATTGAGGCTCTCTGGGATCCTGGTCACCTGCAAGTCCCCCTGGAACACCCTGCTGCTCCTAGTCCAGAAGCCTGGCACCAATGACTACTGGCCTGTCCAGGATCTCCAAGAGGTAAACAGACAGGTGGAAACTCTTCACCCCACCATACCCAACCCATACACCCTCCTCAGCCTTCTCCCTCCCGATAGGACTGTGTATTCTGTTTTGGATTTAAAAGATGCCTTCTTTAGTCTCCCATTGGCACCGGTCAGTCAACCCATCTTCGCTTTTGAATGGACTTACCCTTTGACTGGGGAGTCAGGACAATTAACCTGGACTCAGCTCCCTCAAGGATTGAAGAATGCACCCATGCTGTTCGATGAGGCCCTAAGCAGAGATCTTCAGGACTATCATGCCTCCCACCCACGGGTGACGGTCCTGCAATATGTAGATGATGTTTTGTTAGCTGCAGATACTCAAGAAACATGCCAGGAGGCAACGGAGGATCTCCTCTGAGAATTAGCCCACTTGGGCTATCCGGTTTCTGCTAAGAAGGCACAATTGTGTCAAACTAAAATAACGTACTTAGGCTATGTTATAGCCAGGGTCACCCGAACGCTCTCTGACAGCCGCATTAAGGCCATCCTAAACATACCCCCACCCCAGTCCAAGCGACAAATATGAGAGTTCCTAGGAACTGTGAGGTACTGTAGACTCTGGATTCTGGGGTTTGCGGAAATGGCTCAGCCTCTGTATGAGGCCACAAAGGGAGACACAACTGAGCCTCTCGACTGGACTGAAAAGTTACAACAGGCCTTTGACAAATTGAGGGCAGCTCTAGTCTCAGGCCCCGCTCTGGCCCTGCCGGACCTGACCAAGCCTTTTCAGCTCCATATGGCGGAGGCCCGAGGGATTGCAAAAGGGGTACTCACTTAATATCTGGGCCCCTGGAAGCGACCAGTGGCCTACCTCTCTAAGTGCCTGGACCACACAGCTGCTGGGTGGCCCAATTGCTTGCTGACTCTCGCTGCTACTGCTACTCTTATCAGAGAGGCAACCACGCTGACTTTTGGTCAACAACTTTATGTGGTTACCCCCCACTCCCTTGAGCCTCTCTTTTAGCTCCCCTGAAATATGGTTGTCAAATGCCAGGATCGTTCAGTATCAAGCCTTGTTGCTGGACCCTGACTGGATCCTGTGATCACCCTCAACCCTGCCACATTGCTTCCTGACCACAACCCAGATGGACCGGCCCATGACTGTCTCAAAGTTCTCCAGGCCATCATTAACTTCAGGCCAGATCTGACCGATGTGTCTTTAACCCAAGTGGATGCCACGCTCTTCACAGATGGCAGCAGCTATCTCCATGAAGGTACTTGGGTATCGGGGGCAGCAGTCACTACCAAAACTGAGGTGATTTGGGCGGAAACCCTGGGAACACACACTTCTAATATCTACATAGACGGTAGATATGCTTTTGCCACTCTACATGTGCAAGGGGCCATCTATAAGGAATGAGGTCTGCTGACTTTGGAGGGAAAAGGCATCAAAAATGCCTCTGAGATTCCAGACTTGCTAGCAACCATTTGGGGGCCCAAGAGGCTCACAGTAATACACTGCAAGGCCCACCAAAAAGAAGACAACCCAATAGCCCGACAGAACCGACTGGCAGATTCCACTGCCAAACAGATCGCACTAAAATCAGTGGGGTCAACCGTTCTGGCCATGGTTAACCTTCCCTCACCTTGGCTGGCCCTGCCAGTGTATTCTGATTCATACATAAAGTTGGCAGCAACCTTAAAATCCCAGCTTAATGCTGAAAGGTAGCATGTCCTCCCC